GATTGTTGGGGGCAATATGCTGACTCTCTGTAAACCGCTTAGAGAGGCCTGAAAGGCCTATGAAGCGGTATATAAGTCTACTGCTATATTATTCAGCCAGCAATGGGATAATGTGACTAAATGAGGCAGAGATCCAGGGATGGGATCCTACCAGTTTAACAACTGGTTCACTAATCACGCTTTGCACGCATACACAGTTTACAGAAAACTCACCACCTGCGTTACTGCTGGCAGGGAAAACAGCTGAGGTGCAGCAATCCACTCTGCCGCACCGATCAGCTGGGCTTCAGAAAAGGAAATATAGGTGAGTATAGTGCAGGGGTGGTCAGTCGGGCAGGCCCAGCTGATAGTCGGAGCTACCGGTTCGCCTGAACCGGTCTGAACCGGTAGAATCCCACCCCTGCAAGAATCTATCAAAATGGAATTTCAGGATTCAAAGTTGTCATATGACTCTATTATCCCTCATCTGATCTTGAATCTTCTTGTATATCTGTTGTAATTAGATGTTATAGCTTGGTCTCAAAAGTTCTGCATCTGTTATTATTAAGGGGAATGGGTTTTGAATTGAAACTGATTTTTCATACATCTTCTTGGACTTCATCTAATCCTCCTAGACCTGTAAGTAACAGTAATAATAAAATAACATAGGTGAGGTAGTAGCCCAAGAGGGAAAGAGAATGAGATTTATTCAGTAAACTTCATGACAAAGCCAGAGATTTAATCTTTCGTCTCCTGGATCGACAAAGGCAACACATTACCTTGCCTTCAGGTTCTCAAAAATGCCTTTTCCTCTCATTTTTCACAGATGCAGATTTATTTTTACAACCCCGATGACTTTGACAGCTTCGGGACAGCCATCCAAGAAAAAAGGATCATAGGAACCATGGCTGTGTTTTTTCAGGTAAGTTTATTTCATGGTCTTTACTCCAAGTGGTAAAGTTCTCCCATCCCCCTTCCATGATTATTATTGTTGTTGTTATTGTTCGTTGAATTGTTCCCCATTTAATGAATGCATCTGTTTTCTCACTTACACCTGTCTAAATGAAGGATATTTCATATTGTCTGCTCCGCGATTTAAAATGTAAATAAGTGTTTTTTAGAAACATAATGAGAACCTTTGCATGAATTATTCTGATTTTTATAGCTGCCTGACTGGTGCACAGATTGGAGAGCACATTTATCATAAAAGTTGCCTTGCTATCAGAGCACATTGCTCAGAATATTAACAGGCCAGTTAAGCTGGAGGAAAACTTTAAATTTGGTTGCAACTTATCGATCAACATTGTTGGTGCTTCTCTTCTCAACATCCTTCCACCATCATAACCCCACCACCCCAGAATGGCATCTTACTTCTAAATCCAGTAACTAAATTTCTCAGAGAAACTGGTTTTTCCATTTCAGTGAATTTATGGAGCTCCTTTTTGTGATGGGCTTTTTTTTCCCCCCACCAGACTGAATGTTCTGTGAGCTCATTTACAGGTTCAGCACACCTGAGGACTTGTTGTATTTTCCAGGGGCCCTGCTTGTGATGGCTGACAGGCCAAGCCAAATTGGAGCGGTCTTCGGCTCCTTTGTCTCATTATATTGGAGAAATGGTTTTCCTTTCCTGACTTAAAGGATAAATTGAGGGGAAAGTGATGGTTTGACTTTATTCCAGAAGGCTGCCACATATAAACGATACATCTTTCAGTGTGAACGAGGAAGCTCAAACTATTTGGTGTGAAATGTAGCTGTCTGTTTATATCTATATCTGTTTCTCTATCAATCTGCATTAATCTTCAGCAGTAGCCTAAGGGCTATGATTGGAGAATGCAGCAATAAAAATGTGTTAAGATACAGAGGAAGAAAACATACAGCATGACAGAAACAGGGTATTTTTTTCCCCATGAAAGATTATGGTTTTGGGGAAACTACTATTCGTACAACCATTCTGCTTTCAAATTTAAAACCTACAGTATTGTATACCTATTTGTTTATTTAAACTATCTACATTATGCATATCCTTCCACAAAGATCTAAACACCACACAGCAAAATATAGAAATATAAAGCAACAAATGGTCGCATAGAAAACAAAACACAGTGGCTGTATACACACATGTAAATCAATCAGCTAACGATCTGGCAGCTGCATTTGCACAATGTGGTAAACTTTATTATTATCTATCTGGATCAGATTTTTTTGTGTGTGGTTTAATGCATTGTGTGAAACCCTTGGTTAATTTATAGTTCTTTGTACTGCACACACCCAGAAAAATGTCCATTTCAGGATCCTGGGTAGATATGCTGTGTGAATGCAGCCGTTAACAAAGTCAAAACAGCAATTTGATTAAAACAGCAAGAGTCTCGTACATGAAAAAAGACTGTCCCCAAAAGAAACATCCAGACAACTTCTGGAAGATTATTTCTGATGTAAATTCTGATTGTTAGCAAGGAGCTGAGGTTGGGCTTCCTCCAATGAAAGTTCAAAAGCCTAAGTGCAGTTCCCCCCAAAAAACCACAATTGGGGGGGGGGGGGGGGAATATCAGAAACCTTCCAAAAATAATCACATTCATATA